ATGAAAAGGTATATTGAATGAATTTTGTGTTATAAATCTTTATAGAGGAAATTTAAATGCATACATACATTTAAAACAAATGTAAGATATTTTTCAGCATTTAAATTTCATCTACATGCTTTTTTTTTATAAGGGAAGAAACATTTTGAGAGGCTTTTAAACAGGTTATTATTTTTTTACTTCTTTAGTGGTAAATTGCACATGGACTAAAATTTTTAATCCTGCCCTTTGCGTCTGAGATCTGTCCCTATGGAAATACTTCTCATCTCAAGTCACCCCCTACCACTGTTTGCTCCAAATTCAAGCCTCACAATCTTTTTCTCTTCCTGAATGACTGGGTTCCTTCCTGCTATATCCCTTCCACCAAGCTCAGTTTGTCTGTAGTGCTTATGCATTTTGCTACCTCTCTACCTGGGTGCACTGCCCCATACTTTAAGCAACTCTCATTGTAGCCCCAACTATTTTGTTCATAGAATTGTCACTATCTAAATTCAACTCATTTATTTATTGTAACAGTAATTGGTATAGCAGATGGACTAAATTTAGTTCAGTACAATCTGACATGTTTTTCTTACTACTTCTCTCCAAGGCAGTGAGGGATCTGTCTTTCTCTATCAATTGTTATCCCAGTATGGAAGTTTCATCTTGAGATATTTAAAGAAATCTAACTCAATCACATTTTCATCATCTACCCAATTGCCTGTTTTACCTGATCTTCCCTCTCTGGGACTCCAATCTCACCCACAGAACTGTGTAGTAATTTCTCAGACTCTATACATGACTTGCATTTTTCAGTCTCCTGGCTCTAACCTTCTTTGTCTGCTACAATCATTTTTTCTAATGTGGATTTCCAGTGATAGGATGTAGGCTAGGTGAGAGGTAAAACAAACAAACAACAAAACAAAGGCCATTCATTATTGCTGGTTGATCTTCTCTAACTGACTTGGTAAGTTCCTCTTCTCTTTCTCTGTTTGCATTATTCCATGTATACTCTTTCTCCTGGGGTATTCTCACGGTAACAGAATGTATCTTGGACTAGGTCCTTTCAAATACCAAGGACTAGTCTCTTTCCATTGATTCAAATCCATTTTGACTCATGAGATCGTCTTATGACAGTGGAAGTGAATTTTGCTCATTTGTGGTCCATTCTGTTGACAGGAACTCACTTTAATCCAGGGGACATTAAACTGTGAGCTTTTCTCTTGAAGAAGACACTTACACTGTCACTGTGTTCTAGCCATCACATATATTGGCTGGAAATGGGTGATGGGTTAAAGATTTGTGATCTTCCTTGATATGCCAGAAACATCATCTCTCCACTAAATTTTTCTTGTCCTCCTTCATCATATGAAGATGTCACTGGTCAACAGCTGTCCAACTAGAGATTATGCTTCCCAGACTGTCTTGCTCTCTGGTATAGCTGTGTCACTAATTCTAACAGTACGTCAGTAAAAGTGAACCGTCACTTTTACACCAAAGAAATTAAGAAATTAGTGGAATTTCTCTGTTTTTCTTGTTCTACCTGTATGTAAAGAACCTCTGAGTTCCTAAAAGATAAAAGAAGTACAAAATGGAAGGATCCTGACTCCTTGAATCACAACATGAAGGATGTCACCCTCAGCCAGGAATACATGCAACAGACTGTGACAATTTTTAAATTTTATTGCATTAAACTACTGAAAATTTGTAGTTGGTTATATGAGATAGAAGTACCCTAAATAGTATTTTCTGATATATTTAGTGAATCTTAAATGGTGCAGCAACACTTGTTCTAACATGGAAATAAAATCATCTATGCTTCTCAGGTTTGTGATTTTTTCATCTGACAATCTAACACAAGAGAAAAACTTGCTGTGAATTATCTAATTTCATTTATTTTGTTTTCTAACCCCATTAGAATGTCAGTTCCATGCAAATGGGGTCCTTGCTTCTATTGCTTATCACTATTCCTTGGCATCTTAGAACACTATCAGGGATATCAGGCACACACAATAAATATTCATCATAGAGTAGAATGTTATTTATGAGGATTTTGTGTTTGTATATACATCTAATTATTGACCTATATGATATTCTGGATAATCACAACCTTTTTTGAGATGTGCAAACCCACACATGGCTCATGTTAGGCAAGTGCTCTCCCACTTTAAAGTTATTGAGTGAAGGCAGCAGCTTCATATGGGAGAAAAAGAACTTTATTATTTTATAATTTGGCTAACTTTGTCACTTGGTTGCCAGTTCACATCTTCTCAAGGGGAAAATTTGATTCACTGAGTATTGGCACTGAAAACTTCATCAATTCTTCTGGGTTCAAATAAATAAGGATTGTGGTTTTTGCCCATAAAAGCTTATTTGAGTCAATGATAATTCAATATGCATTAGCAGGAAATATTTTTCATCATATTATCCCTCAGAAGATAATCAATTATCCATTATAAATGACTTGTTTCTGAGATATAAAACACACAATAATATTAATTTAAGTAAAACATATTGTTGAGGAAATCCTCTATTTTAATTTTATTCATTTTGAAAACATTACCAAGTCAACAAACAAACTGAAGTAAAGGGCACTTTGGAAGCACCACGTAATTAAGAAGAAGTGGATAACTATAATCTGTCTTAAATTTCCTAAATTGAAATATCAGTAATTCAGAACTTGGGGAATGAGGGAGGCAGCTGTAAATTGGAAATGCCATTATATCATTCTTCTGCTACTCCCATATGTATACCACTACATCTACAGAAGTCATGACTCATACCATATCATTTACCCACAACCCACCTTCTGCTCTGAAGCATACAGAATGCAAAGGTACCATGCAAAGGCACTAGCTGTTGTTAATATCCAGTTGGGGGAGACATGGGTTGAGAATGCATTCACAGGTACCTGGGAGTTATGATAAAGCCAGAAATGACTAGAGAGCCTATGGGTTTATTCATTTGTATCCAGATATACCATGATCATGAGGGGAAAATTGTAAAGAGTTATGACAAATAAGAATATACATATTATTCCAGGATCAGATCATTAGGAAGTATACTCCTGATTAGCTAGTTAAAAATGACTGTGTCTCTCTGTCTGTGTCCTCTCCTCATCAGAAGAACAATAACAGTAGTTATGAGTAGAGTGTCAAAATGATTCACTGTGGCTATCTAGGTAGTCTATAAATAAAAGTGAACATTTGTGCTACAACTTGTGAATAAAAATCTAGAAGTGCTTCAATGAAAATCTATTCACAGTCATTGCTGGCCTAAAAGTTAGCATGTGCAAATTAGTAAATGAATTGCTTTTCAGAGAATAGAGCTTGTTCAGTACACTTTGGTGCAAAAATAAAAAGAATGGGTATGGGTAAGAAGGGAGGAAAGAAAGAATGAGGGAGAAAGTGTACAAAAGAGAATTAAAGGCATATTTTCTCCCAGTAGGACTGATTTAGAGAGTACAGCCCCCTCCTCCTAGTCCCGCTATTAGTCACTTACAGTGAAGTGAAAACAGTTTAATTGTAGGTCATGGCCTTGATTCTGTCAGTTTAAGTGGAAAATTACATCTTATTTTTTAATCCATAGACATTATATAAAAATCAATCAAGAATTTAGTAATGAGCAAATAATTCAGGTCATACTTTGACAGTTTACATAGACATTATTGATTTTTTGTTTTGAGGCAGTACTGAAGTTTGAACTCAGGGTTTCACTCTTGCTAGGCAGGCACTCTACCACTTGAGCCACTCCACCAGCCCAATTATTATTATTATTTCTGATATACGGGGTTTGAACTCAGGATCTAATGCTTGCTAGGCAGGCACTCTCATCGCTTGAGCCACAGCTCCAGCCCTTACATAGATATTAAAGCCATTTATTAACTCTAAAACTTTAGGAAGTATCTCTATCTTTTGGGAACCTACAAATGCTAAAAAACTGATAAATAAAAGTTGGGCAGAATAATAGAGATGAATTTTTTTTCAAAAATTCCATTTTTTATTGTGCTGTGTGGGGTACATTGTGGCATTTACAAAAGTTCTTACAATGTTCAAATATATTATAATTGAATTCATTTCCCTCCATCATTCTCCTTTATCCCTCCTCCTTCATTCCAGGAAAAATTTCATTTTCTTTGATATAGGATCTCTCTATGTATCTTAGGCTGGCCTTGAACTCACTATATAGCTTAGGTTGGCCTTGAATGAAAAATCCTCCTGCCTTAGCCTCCCAAGTGCTTCAAATACAGGAATGTACCACCATGTGAGGCTCCCAAAATATAATCTTTATAAAATATTTTGTATATTAACACTTAAACCATTAATCAAAATAGTATTCTGTAGCTATGTATATGTGTGTATGTGTGTGTGTGTATACATGGATATATTTAACACAAATTGGGCCATGAAATATTTTCAAGATAAAAATTCTATTTAAGAATTTTTCATAAGTTGTCAGGTTAAATTAACAACAGAATGCTAATTTTGCTACTTCAACATTTCAAGAGGAAGAAAAATGCTAGTATTTTGTACAACACACATAATATATGATCTGTGTAACTATCTTAAACAAACAAAAATGTCATTTTTTTCTTTTTCAAAATTGGAGAACATGAGGGTGGAACAAGTCTTGCCTGGGAGGGTTGGTATCAGTGAGAGGTGGGGAAGGGGCATGGGAGGGTGAATATAGTACAAATACTGTGTACATATGTATGTAAATGGAAAGATGATACCTGTTCAAACTATTCCAAGAACGGGGGCAGGAGAGATAAAGTAGAATGATGGAAGGGTGAATTTAAGTATGATATATCTGATATATTGTAAGAACTTTTATAAATGCCACAATGTACATCCACCCAGTACAACAATAAAAAAGAGGAAAAAAAGAAATGAATATAAAAGTATATAGAAAGGAGAAAATACTAAAAAAATCTAGTATCTAAAAATACAGAAGGCCCTTGACTTAAACTGGTTCAACTTTACACTGATGTGAAAGCTATAGGAAGTTAGCAGAAACCATACTTGGAATTTTGAATTCTGATCTCTTCCCAGCTAAAGCTATATATGGTACGAGGCTCTCTGTGAACTGGCGCAGCAGCAATGAGACATAGCTTCCAGTCTGCCCGACAATCACAAAGGTTAACAATCAATTCTCTACATTATACTGTGTTGCAAAGCTAGAATTTTCCATAGATTGGGGGTATTGAATATATTTTTAATTTAAGATATTTTCAAGGTGAATGTGGTAGTACAAACCTGTAATCCCAGCACTCAAGAGGCTGAGGCAGGAGGATATAGAGTTCAAGGCTGGCCTGAACAATAATATGTAGATGAGGACAAAAATTTTAGTGTACACCTGAAAGTACTAAGAAAGTATCCTTTAAGAAACGCACAATGATTTCATTTGATGGGATTATTTGAAAGAAGACATAACATGAAATAAGTTTTCATGGCTGAAAGATACAGAGGGAATTAGTTTTTATGACTAGAAAGGTGAGAAAAACTTAATGATATAGCAACATCATCACTATCATTGGTTTGATGGGATTAGTTGAAAAGTGTCCCTCTTTCACCAATCTCAGTTGAAAGTGAACATTTTAATTAAAATAGAAAAACTTACAGTCACAAAGGGAGTGATCTAGCAGCCATGTTACTTATGAAAGTAATATATCTGTTAAAGTGTACAAACATTTTAATTTCAAAAATGGAAATGAATTAGAAATGTACCATTAAAGTACAGTATGGTGGCATTTTTTCACTTTATACTCAGTTTTCTCACATAGCCATGAAAAATACCCTGATGCTGGGTGTTTCTCAACCTGCATGACAATCTTCACTATTCAAATTTGAGAGTTATAAGGATCTCAATTTCTACTAGTACTTTCTTAAAACATTAATAAGTCTTATAGAAAATACTTTATGCATTAATTAATTAAGTGATGTAACAGATATTTATAAAGTGATGTTAGGATTGCATCTATGTTTGCTAATATGTGTTATTACATTTCGACCCATCACTAGCCCCATTTTAAAATATACACTCAACAAGGAATCCAATATTCTATCTTCAGGTACTAACTTCATGTTCCTAATTTCTCAGGGCCCATTTTAAATTATGTTTCTTCTATGTCTAGATAAAAATATAAATTTTAATTCAGTAATCACTTTCCATAAAGAGATGGTAGAATTAAAATTATGTCACTTAAAAATAACCTTTAAGAAAAATTCTATACTGCAGCAATAATCAGGTCACAGAAATAAGATATTTTCACTTGAGTGAAATGATCCAATTCAATCATCACATTAAATAATTATTGACTTACCAAGACCAATGCATTTGCTATGGTATACTTGAGTGTATTTCAGTATTATAACTATCTATTTTATATGCCTTAGTGGAGATTTACCCAAAAACCAGGTGACAAAATAATCAATTTATAGACTTAAGTATTTTAAATCTTTTCTTTCTTTCTATTATTAGATCCAAAATTCAAGAGTCCAAATAATCAACTCCATGAAGAAATCTATCTGCATATTATGAATGAAAACATTTATTTGATCATGACCAATTTAAGTACTTGAGTACTAACCATAATACAATGACTTCTAAGTGAAAATTATTAATACCAATTTTGCCCTCTTGATTAATTTAAACCAAGACTCTTAATATTTAACCTTATTAAATAATTACGGACACAGTTTTTTAGTACACATTCAATAATTCAAATAAACTTTTATTCTGAATCAATGTTATTTAATAACCAAATATATGCTAGTTTCTCTATATATGTTTCAAAGTGGGAAAGCCTGCTATAGAAATCAGGACCAATCAATATTGAAGGAATCTAGAAAGCACAATCCTGTTTTTGGCTATATGTAAAAACAAGTAGGTAGGCTAAGGTTTAAGTTTAATTCTTGAGGGTTAGGTTAATTCTTGAATATTGCAGGTAGATGCTAATTGGTACGGTCAATATAAAAATAAAACAAAAGACTGTCTGCCCAAAGCATTTAAGATCTAAAATTGCTACCACTGATTTATCTCTATATACTTATTTGATATGGATGTTTTTAATAATAGAAATTTAGTGTACAACAAAAGCTCTGCTTCCCAAATGACAGACTCTATGAATATTGAATGAGTTCTTACCAGAGCAATACATTGTATTTCAATAGTGTTTATGGGTGGTCCAGGAGAGCTATGGATCTCAAGCTGATACCAGATTCTTAATTTTCTAACTTTTTCCTCTGAAAAACAAAACAAACCAAATCAAAAACTAAGGAAACAACAACAATAAAGCTCCACAACAATTCTTAAAACAGGCTTCAGATTCCCACACTTAACACACAGATTTAAGAATCATGAACAGATATCATCTTGCAACTCTTTTTCAATTGGTTCATTTGTTAAGAGAGCTGAGAAAAGGATCAAATATATTCATCACAGTTTGTGAGCAATAAGAGAAGGCTCATCCTGCATGGCCATGAGAATATCCTGTTAAAGCTCCTGGTTGTTTGCCTGCCCCAGTAACTCATTAAATTCTCCACTAAAATAAACTTAAGTAAGCTTTACTTTTAAGGCAAGAATCAATGCTCTAAAGAAATAATCGATCTTTTCCCCTAATTGCCAAAACATTCATAAATTTGTCCATAGAAATGTCTAAATAACATACTGCAATTCACAATGGCACATTTCTACTACCACAAGAATTTAGATTAAGGAGAAAGTCGGGAATATAAGATTTCAGTTTTCCCTGGAGTGTAAAAAATGGTTTCTAATAATATAACCCAAAGTAATCTATAAATGAGTTTGGACTAAGTAGTGAGACAATAATGTTTATACCAGGGTTTCCAATCAAACAGAAAGTCCCTGCATATGGAAGTTTTGTACTTATGTCAAATCCATTGTTTCTCACCTGTTCATCTTATTTTGGTATTCTTTTGTTTAACTAGCTCATGTTTTAAAATGTCATCTTGCTTAACTAAGTTGTATGCATAGTCACATTAATATTGTCATGTTTAAAAAATTTTAAGGAACTGTTATGCTAGATTAATTTACTTAGGTAAATTATTAATCTCCTTGGCCCTCACTATGAAGTAAGTGGCCCAGACTAATGATATTCTCAGCATCCCTCTCTTCTGAAAGTCTTCTCCATGAGTGTATAGTTTGCATTACATTCTAGTACATGGAATAATATGACATCAAATGCTGTTGAATGATATAATGTTAAGTTACATTGAATGACATTGTATTTTACTATACTGCAGTGTTCTGTTCTATTCTGTACTGTACAACATTGTCTTATATTACATCTTACTCTAATGCTTTAGCTATCATAAAATACTTATAAAATTGGTGGATTTGACAGACATTCAGAACAATCAGTTAGTGAAAAGGAGAAATAGAGGAGGTCCAGGTGTCATTACAAATATTTGTGAGGAGTTCTGTTTTGGGGGGTTTTGTGTTATTGCTGCTGTTGTTGTTTGTGGTGTTAGTGATGGAAGCCAGGGCCTCTTGAGCCATGCTAGACAAGTTTCTAACAGTGAACTATATCCCTAGCCTCTGTGAACAGGTCTTGAGGGAAATCTTACCTTCTTATTTTGAATTTTCTACTGTGCTTATTTATTTTGCAGACACCAGTTCATTCCCTTAAAACCATTAATATGCAGAGCATAAGGTTAAAAAATGTACACCAATATGAAATTATTAAGGAAATATCTCCTCACATTTGTATAGGCTGGCCTTCAATTTTTTGAAAGCACTTTTAATGCTTTGATGACATTTAAATGTGCTTCTTTCTCAAATAAACTAAAATTATCAATTGTTACTTCTGGATAGCTAACAACTATTATATCTTGGTCTTTCCAATGTTTTAACTCACACAAAAATAATTCTGGAGAGAAACAGTATCTACAACTGAGGAGAATGCTTCATGGCTCTGGCTTAGTACAAAAGTCAATAGATTTCCTTGAAATCAGAAGACAAAGGTTCAAATACAAATCCCAACATGAATACAATTACCTATAGATCTTTGGCAATCTAACTCAAAAATATGCCCATCTGTGGAATGGGGTCTCTATTAGTCAAGTTTATTCAGAAGAATAGAATAAAAAAGGTGCGTGTGTGTGTGTGTGTGTGTGTGTGTGTGTGTGTATGTTCTCATTATTTCTATTTCACTGAAAAACTCTAATACTAAATTCATTCAATAAAAATCTCTTTGGTGTACTTCTGTCTCATAACATTGTACCTGTTGAACTACTCCTCTCTAATAACATTTTATGTCTTTGCTACTTATACATAAAAACCAAGTTATTCTCAAGGAAAACTGCCCTGACCATTCCAATTCTTCTTCATCACATTTTCCTTTGCACTTCTACTAAAAAGACATGATGTTTAACAATGTTCATGTAAAGCTTTATAATATAGGAAGGAAAAACAATAGCATTTAGTTGCTTTGGCATTTGAGAAGAATTGCTCTCATTTTCTATATAGAAATTTAAAAAGCATATTACAATGTTAAAATAATATACTTGTTAACATTTTATTAGAAACTTGCTGTACGTTTTTTAATCACAAGAAAATATGTAAAGCACTTCACTTATGGAAAGTTAGGCAGTCCTCAAGATGAAACATAACCTATTGATATTAATAGCAATAGAAATTTAGAAAGTAAGCTATGTAAAGTTAATCCTGAAATAATATAATAAATTCTTACAGATATATGTATCACAAACTTGGATATGTATTATGCATATAAATTGTCTATTTCATTTAAAAATGAATGAGCCAGAGCAACAAGGCAAGAGAAAGAAACAAAAGGATACAAGTAGAGAGGGAAGAAGTCAAATTATTCCTATTTTAGATGATATGATCCTATACTTAAAAGACCCTTAGAGCTCCACTAAAAAACTCTTAGATCTGATAAACATTTTTGGCAAAGTAGTAGAATACAAAATCAACGTGTAAAAATCAGTATTTTTTTCTATACACCAATAATAGGCTAACAAAGAAATAAAAAATCATATTCATAATAGATTAAAAATACTGAGGAATAAACTTAACTAAGGAGGTGAAAGACATCTACAATGAAAATTATAAAACATTGATGAAAGAAACTGAAGACACTAGAAAATGGAAAGCTCTCCTGTGGTCGTGGATGAGCAAAATTAACACTGTGATAGGCTGAGTATGGTGGCTCATACCTATAATCCCAGCTACTCAGGAGGCAGAGATAAGGAGGATCACAGCTCAATGCTAGCCTGGGCAAAAATATAGCAAGGCACCATCTCAATATGGTAATACAGTGGTGCATGCCTCTAATCCCAGGTAGGCAGCAGCATAGGATCATGGTCAGCCCAGAAAGAAGTGCAAGACTCTATCTGAAAAATAACTAAAGAAAAAATGGATAGGGGTATGGTGTATGGCTCAAATGATAGAGTGGTTGCCTAGCAAGCATGAGGCCCTGAGTTTGAATCCCAGTACCATTGAAACAAAAGAATTAATATTGTCAAATGGCTATACTACTGAAAGCAATCTACAGATTCAATGCAATCTCTATAAAAAAAATCAAATGACATTCCTCACAGAAAAAGAAAAAATCTCCTGAAACTTACGTGGAAACACAAAAGACTCCATATAGCCAATGCAATCTTGAGCAAAAAGAGCCATGCTGGAGGCATCACAATACCTGACTTCAATTACACTACATGGTCATAGTAACAAAAACAGCATGGTACTAGCAAAAAAAAAAAACCCCAGACACATAGAGAAATGGAATATAATTGAAGATCCAGAAATAAGCCCACACAGCTACAATTTGATTCTCAACAAAGGTGCCAAAAGTACACGCATTGGAGTAAAGAGTAAAGATAGTCTTTTCAACAAATAGGGGTAGGAAAACTGGATATCCACATGCAGAACACTGAAACTTCATCCTACCTCTCACCCTGTACAAAAAATCAATTCAAAATAGATCAAAAACATTAATGTAAGACCTGCAACTTTGAAATTACTAAAGGAAAACCAGAGAAAATACTCGAAGATATAGGCATAGGCAATGACTCTATGAATAGGTCTTCAGTAGCTAAGGAAATAAGAGCAAGAATTGACAAATGGGATTGTATCAAATTAAAATGCTTCTGCACATCAAAGAAAACAATTACTAAAATGAAGAGATAGCTTATAGAATTGGAGAATATTTTGCCAGCTGATCATTGGACAAGGGATTAATATCCAGAATATATAAAGAGGTCAAAAATGAAATACTAAAACAACAAATAATCTAATTAATAAATAAGAAAGTGAATTGAACAGACAGTTCTCTACAGAAGAAGTACAAATGGCCAATAAATATATGAAGAAATGTTCAATGTCCTTAGGATATAAAAGAAATGCGAATCAAACGACATTGAGATTTCATCTCATCCCAGTTAGAGTGGCAATCACCAGGAAAATAAACAAGTGCTGGTGAGGTGCAGGAAGAAAAAAATTATTATATATTGTTGATGGGAATGTAAATTAGACTAGCTACTATGGAAATTAGTATGGTGTTCCATACTGAACTATATGCCCATTATTGGGCATATAACCGAGTGAACGCAAGTCAGTACACAACAGAGATACCTGCACACTCCATGGTTTTTACAGCAATATTCACAATAGACAAGTAATGGAATCAGCCTAGATGCCCATCAACAGATGAATGGATAAAGAAAATGTGGCATATATGCCCTATGGAGTATTATTCAACCATAAAGAAGAATGAAATTATGTCATTTGCAGGAAAATGAGTGGAACTGAGGATCATCATGTTAAGCAAAAAAAGCCAGACTCATAAAGGCCAATACCAATTTTTTTCTTATATGCAGAATCTAGATCTAAACAAACAAAACATAAGCATGAATATAAACAGGGGACTTCATAGAGGGGGTAAAACCAGCAGGTGGTGGAAGGAGAGGAAAGAGAGGGCAAGGAGGAGAGTATAAGATCAAAGTACATTGTACTCATGTATGAAAAGGTGATGAGACCCATTTTTTAAAATTCAAGAATGATTAGAAAAGGGGTGTAGAATTAGGGAAGGATACGAATGAGTACCAGAGTGGGTGAATATGGTTAGAGAACATTACGTGTATGTATGGAAAAATCAAAATGAAACCCTGCACATTATGTAATTAATATTTGCTAATAATGTGATCATGGGGGTTTGAAGAGACTAACCATGAAACTCTCTATCATAATACATTTACCTGATTCTGCCTCAAAAGTAATGGGGGAGTCGTCTGTTGGAGTTTGATCTTGATCTGAGTCGTCCTGAGAATCAGGCTCATCTCTGCTTTTAACAGAAAATGAAATTGACCCTAGAACGCATAGGTACAAGGCGTCAGATTAACAAGGGAGTTTTCAAAAATAAAGCTTAATCTCAAGTATTAAAGTTTTTTTGGCTAAAAAAGTATAAATATAGAGCTAAACATAAATTCTATATGATAATATTCCAGTTAAACCTGATGGAGGAATAGAACAATTCAATGGAAATTTCAAAGAAATATTTTGAAAATTTGCATTAAATGGTAATTTTTCCAAAGATTTCCTGCATTAATTAAGAAGATGTGGCAAATAATGAAACTGTATCATCTCTCAGAAAACTTATTGATCCTGGCTGAGTAGGCTTACATATTTTCTTACTAAGTTATTTTACTATTCTATTTCTTACCTTATTTAAAAAAATATTTATTTTTTATATACTATTATAATAACAAGCATGAACTTTCCTATAAAATATTAAACACTGTTATAAAAATTGATGTCAAAACTATAACTGTCTGGAATTCTTATACTAAAATTGACTTACAAAAATTGGTAATTGAGGTATACATATATATAGTGGTTTTTTTTTTTTGGCAGCACTGTGGTTTGAACTTGGGCCTCACACTTGCTAGACAGGTGTTCTTACTGCTTGAGCCACTCTGGCTACCCTGAGGTTAATATATTTATGGAATTAATTCAGGTATTGGCCTTGATCTCTCAATATCAGCTTGACATAAAGAATGCTTTGCACATAAAACCAAGTGTTCCTAGCCATGCATCATAATCAAAGCACCCCATGCCTACCAACACTATAAATTTTATTCATTGTAAGAGAGAACAAGTAGAATTGAAATTAACCATCAAGACATTCTTAGTTTTTATTTGACAATGAACACCCTTCTTTAAAAAAGTTTTTGAAAGAGATCTTTTTGGAGTATGGTCTTCTTGGAGAGTTTTGAACTAAGACTGTCTTGTAATAAAATATAAACATGTATGCATATAAAACAATAGGAAATGAAATATATATTAAAACAATTAGCCAAAAGTACAAAGAAGGTATGCAATAAGTGGCATCTTTACTCAAATTCTTATTATTCCAATTCAGAGGATGGTCCAAACAATTAGATACCATTGGTCATATTGTTTCTGGAGAGGAAAGATATCTAACAGAAAGAAAAGTCTAATGTGAAAAAAATAGTATATTTACTTGTTTGTGTGAAAAGTACAAGTGTTTTGTCTCTTCATATGCAATGCAAGACTTTTTAAAAGAGTTTAATACCCAACAATTAAGTAAAATTTGATCTTGGAACACAGAACAATTTAGTACTGAGTAACCTATAACATAATTCATCTCATCAAAAAAATACATCCATCACAAAGCATCATCCAACACCTAATATAGCAGTAAAATAGTAGAGGATTCGCACTAAATCCATATAATGTAACCCATTTAACTGAGTCTTTATGGATATTGTTTTGTGCATTAATGCCAATGTAGTGAAACCAGGAAAGGGTATATAAAGAAAACATTTAGAAATGAAAAACATGCATCATCATGAGCAGATATGATTTTCTATCTGGAAACTCAATAGAATCTATTGAAAATTCATTGATATTCATAGTTGTGTTCAAAAAGTGGCCAAACACAACATAAGTGAAAAAAATTACAAAACTTTTCTTCCCTCTATATCAATAATATAATGAGAATAAGTCCTGATCACCACACTACGAATAACAAAATATTTTTCTCAATCCATATTATTTGTATTTTTGATTATTTCCTTAAGATAAATTGTAAGAAACTGAATTATTATTTAAATATTTTAGACAATTTATAAGGAATCAATAAATCTTGGACAGGAGCTGTAAATAATGACAGCAATAAGTTGCTTTCATTTAAAATATAAGCTTCATTTTGGAATAATTTCAGATTTATGCAGAGGTTGCAAGGATACAGATTGTTCTCATATGCCCTTCACCTACTGTCCCCTAGTATTAGTATCTTGCATTATCATGGTACATATGTCACAGTTAAGAGATTAGCATTGATACACGGTATTAACTAAACTCAATGCTCTAGAGCATCAGTTTTTCCACTAATGTTCTAATGTCCTTTTTTTCTTTCAAGATCTAATCTTTAAGATCTCACACTACACTAAGTCATCATGGCTCCTTAATCTCTTGCATTTGATGACAGTTTCTCAGTACTTCCTCATTTTAATGACTTGCAATACCCTATTTTTATTATGTCACTATTTATAAATGGCAGTCTTTGATGGTGATCAGGATGTGTGAATTAGGTTCTTAGGGATGCCATAAGAAATCACCACAAACCAGATAGCCTAATTCTTAATTTCAAAATTGTGGAGACTGGATGTCAGAAATTCAGATGTTACCAGACCTAGTTCCTTGTTGAAGTTCTTAAAGAGATTTGTTCCACATCTCTCTTCTGGTTTTTGGTGCAAACCAGCAATATCTAGTATTCTTTGATTTGTAGATATATCATGCCAACCTCTTCCTCCATCTTTACATGGCATTCTCTTCTGGGCCTGTCAGTTCATCTCCTTATAAGAACATCAGTCATACTGGACTAAAGCATACTGTATTTCACCATAACATTTCTTAACTTGATTACACCTGCAAAGACCCTATTTCTAAATTTGCCCCATTTACAAGTAGTAGCAGTTAGGAGTTCATATTATATTGAGGACACAACTCAATCAATGAGAATATGCAAAATAACATTTTTGTTACTATTTTTAAGTTTATAGATGGCTTTAATCTATTTTTTCATTTAATTTCAACTTTTTCACTTACTTCACTGCTCATTTTGATGTCTTTAAAATAAACAATTTATAATTGTCTTACACTTAATCCAATAGCCATTACTTTTTTTAAATCATTACATGAGATGATTGGGCACCTTTTAACCAAATAAAATCAGTACAATGAGAAGTTGTTTAAATACTCTGAACATTTATACCAATGTATTACTCATTTGATAGCTCAATTTAACTCTCCTCCACATGTCTCTCAATCTCTCTTGGCATCACTAAATATAGAAACTAAACCATTCTATTTTGCCATTTTCAATTCCTTTATTTTGGAATATCACAAAGTCACTTAGGTTTTAGGCTAATTGGAAATTTCATGTTATTTTATAAACATGGATTTCTTAATATACATGGGAGCTTAATATATACTCCTAACACAGTATGCAAGCACAGGGCATGTAGTAGAAAGAACACAGGATTTTAAAAACTGGATTAGAATTCTTATTCTGCTTGCTTATGTACCATTATTTGCAAGGCACTGTTCTAGGTACTTTATATATATTAACTTAAAAGATACCTATGAGACAGGTTTTACTACTATCCCAATTTTAAAGAAAGTAAATTGCTACACAAGAAAGTTCACTAGCCTGCCCAAGGTCAACCAGCTAGTAATAACACAGAATAATATAGTAACAATGCAGAACATGAGCATTCTGGTTTCAAAGTCAACTGTAGTTTTTATATTGAGCATATTTTATTTTTGAAGAAGTTTAGGTTTACAAAAGAGTGAGCAGAAAATACAGTTTCCATGTACCCCTCTCACTCTGTAAGTTTCTTTTATAAGGATTTTGCACTAGTGTGGTGCATTTTATAAAACTGATGATACAATATTGATAAATTGTTATTAATCACAATCCATAGTTTACATTATGGTTCACTCTGTGTTATACATTCTATAAATTTGGCAAATATGTAGTCTTTATTCTCCTTTTTACATTATCACACAGAATAGTTTTACTGCCCTAAAAATATCTTGTACTGAAGATATTAATCCTTTTCTATCTTATCTCAAAGCACCTGGCCATCCTTATAGATGTATAGTGCTGTTTCATTGCTGTTTTAACTTGCATTTTCCTAATAACATTGTCTTAGTCCATTTTTGCTATTATAAAAAATATCATAAACTGGGTAGCTAATAAATAACAGAAATTTATTTCATATTTCCAGATGCCTAGAAGTCCACAATTGAGGCACTTAGAAGATTTGGTGTTTGGTGAAATCCTGCTTTTAATAAACAGCATTAGATGGAGAATTAGACTATTCTACAATAATTTTGAAAACTTCAAAATCCAACTTTCAGTGATTGATAGAACAATTTGACAGAAGGTCAAGTCAATAACGAAATAGAGGATGTGAACAATACTACATAACAGCTACATCTACTGAATTTATATGAAATACTCTATTCAACCCTATTAGAGTACACATTCTTCTTAAATGAATATGGAACACTCTCCAGGATAGATTGTACATTAGGCCACGAAACACGTGGAACAGAATAGAAGACCCAGACATGAATCCACGCAGCTATGCCCACCTGATTTTAGAAAAAGGTGCCCAAAACATATGATGGAGAAAAGACAGTCTCTATGACAAATGTTGATGGGAAAACTGGATATCTGCATTCAGAAAACTGCAACTAGATCTATGTCTTTCACCCTGTACAAGGATCAAACCAAAGGGGATTAAGGTCCTTAATATAAGACCTGAAACTTTGAAGCTAGTGCAGGAAAGAGAAGAGCATACACTGGAATTCATACGCATATGCAATGAGTTCCTCAATAGAACTCAAGCGGCTCAGCAACTAAGTGAAAGAATTGATTAATGGGACTACATGAAACTAAAAAGCTTCCGTACAACAAAAGAAATGGTCATGAGATTGAAGAGGCTGCCCACAAAAAAGGAGAAAATATTTGCCAGATATACATTTGACAAGGGATTAATAAACAGAATACAGGGAACTCAAAAACTAAATTCCCCAAAAATCAGTGACCTAATGAAGAAATAGGCAAATGAATTGAATAGAATCTTTTCAAAAGAAGAAGTCCAAATGGCCAAAGAACACATGAAGATATGCTCAACATCCCTGACCATAAAGGAAGTCTTAATGCATTTTAAAAGACTGAAATCATACAAAGCATATTTTCACATTGCAATAAAACTGGATATTTTTATAAATGTGGAAATTAAGCAACATAAGTTTAAACAATATGAATAAA